AAAGAAGATGCTGTGGTTCTTGAGAACCTTTTTGGTCTGACCCAGGAACACCCTTCTTACGTTCACTGATTCCGCTTATTGACTGCAGGCTAATTTTTCTTTATTGCATTACCGTGGGGCCTCCTTTTTCCACAGGATGTGTATGCCCTGATTTGGAGAAGTCAGCCCTGATTTACTTACCCATGGTCTGAAACGGTTAAAAGAAAAATCCTAGAAATACGTATTTCTAAAGATGAAGTAACCAGATCTTACCATTGGACATCCAGAGACTGTGCTATGTGTAGTGTTTGTTATCAAAATAGTGTGCGATAGAATCAAGAATTTTTCAGCCTCTGCGGGGGCGCGGCTTGGAACTAATCCCCTGAAGCTAGTGGGGGGTCCTACTGTATTTTCATATTTTTGTTAATATTAGGAAACACCCGGAGACTGTTTTCATTTGGTGACATTTAAATGTGCTTTTTAAATGAGCAGTAGTATAGACATGAAGAGTCTAGTTCTGCCCACACGCTTCCTTTGCTCAGTATCCATTAAGAATATACCTGCAGCATGACAGCAGTCTAGATTTCAGCGCGTTTAGCACAAGCGCAATTCAGTTCAGCCTCTATAAACGTTTGACAAGTCTGCTGGCCTTGAATAGCGAATGAAGGCTGTGATATTGTGATCTCCCTTGATCTGAGCAGATTGGGTAGACGGAGGGTCAAGAATGGATCACGTCCTGTCTCTTTGCGATTTGCTTTGTCAATACCTGTTCAGATGAGGAACGAAGTGGCTCGTACCCATCTCTCTTCCCAGCTGCGTTTGTCTTCTTCTAAGTTGTCTTCCCCCCCCTCTCTGTTCTAGCGAATCTTGGAACCCGACGATTTCCTGGATGACCTGGATGATGAAGACTATGAAGAAGACACACCAAAACGCCGAGGGAAAGGCAAAGCTAAGGTATATCTCACATACCGGGCCTTAGAAATGCCGGTCCATCTCAAAGTCTGGCTTGGCTCTCTTTCGCTCTTCACCTTTTTCCATAAGGGAGTTTGCAGGGGAGTTTGCTAGTAGTTGGCTAGCATAACATTAGGTATTCAGTAAATAATGGGGAGGAAAAAGAGGGCAGGCTTGTTTAATTATTCAAGGGAATTTTAAAGGGAATTTAATCTATAATGCCCTAAAAAACGGTTTGGGTCCAAGCCATCTAGAAAAGTGCAGCTCCTGTTGTGAGCCTGCCTGCCTGGGAATTAGGATAATCACAGGAGGCCTTCCTCTTGGCCCCACCAACCTCATAGACATGCTCGGTTGGGAAACAGAACAGACTCTTCTCTGTCACTGCTCCCAGACCCTGGAACTCCCTGCCACTGGAAGCCAGGCTGGCCCCTCTTCGTTGGCCTTCTGCAAACAGGCAAAGACCTTTCTCTTCAGATGGGTTTTTCCTTAGTAACTGGCGGTCCGAGAGGGATTTTTAAACAGATTGTTGTTCTCTGATGGGTTTTTCCTTAGTAACTGGCAGTCTGAGAGGGATTTTTAAACGGATTGTTGTGTGCTCTCTTGTTTTTAAGTTGTCTTTCCAGTATTGATTTTATTTACTTTTTAAAAATATGTGTATACTCACTGTTAGTTTTAAATACTGTCTTTTAGTGATGTAAGCCACCTTGGGTCCTTTTAAGGGGAAAGGTGGGATAAAAATAATACAAACCAATAATTTCTTTTTAAAAAAGTAAATACATAACGTTTTTATTGCTACAAGTCCACATTGTGGGGCAGCAGAGACTCTGTTTCCAGGATTTGCTACCCAGAGTAGACCTTTGGTCTAGATGGGCGGGGTAGAAGTTTAATAAATGAATATATAAAATTACATCTGGTTTGCTACAGTGCCCAGGAAGACCACAGCCAGGGAACTGAAGATGGTCAGTCGTGTCAGGACCACTCTAGGCGGCTATAATTTAATAAATGAATAAATAAAATAACATCTGGTTTGCTGCAGTGCCCAGGAAGACCACAGCCAGGGCACTGAAGATGGTCGTCCTTATTTGCTGTTATGCAACCAACGTGCACACAGTAGCTGTTGCTGCTCAGAGAGGGATAGCCTCTGAACCTGGAAATTTTGATTGGCGTCGCCCTTCACCAATTAAAATGTTATTGTTGTTTAGTGGTTAAGTCATGACCCCATGGACCAGAGCATGCCAGGCCCTCCTGTCTTCCACTGCCTCCCGGAGTTTGGTGAAAATGTTGCAAGGGCTAAAATTAGCTTTTGTAAGCATCCTTGTCAACAGGAGAATGTGAATTTACGGCCCTGCAGTGATGGGCTAGGCAGCCATTCCCCTCGTCCTTCACCGTGGGCTATCTAGCTCTGATAGGCACTGGAGTCTGGCAAAATTTGGGGAGCCACGAGACCTCCCACCCCTGCTGCAAACCTTAACTGCTGTTTGATTTGTTTCAGTTCTGCTGTTATCTCACTCCAAGCTCCTCCTTTGCCGTTTGTGGCGACAGAGGCAGAGTTATTGGAAAGATGGGATGGGTGTGTTTTGAATTACATGTCCTGGATTTACACCTTCCCACCCCACCCCACCCCCTTGGGCCAGTAGGCAAAGAGTAGCATCTCTGCCCCATGAAAAGTCTTGACTTCTGTTTTTTCCGGACTCCTAGGGTAAAGGAGTTGGGAGCACCCGGAAAAAACTGGATGCCGCCATTTTGGAAGACAGAGACAAACCTTATGCCTGTGACAGTGAGTAAGAAGGCGACCCTTGCTGTGAGACCACGTTGTCGTGAGCAGAACATATTTTACTAGATAGGCGGGCGGGTGGGTGGGTAGGATGGGGGAATGGATCGGGTTGGTGTATGCNNNNGAACCACAGGAGGGGGTGAATAAACTTCCTCCCTGTTGTTTTTCTCCATGAACTTTCTCCGTGGTTGATATGCTCCTGTGTATAGGAGAAAGTTGGAATGTGGTACTAAGAGGTGACTTCCAGTAATACTGGGTGGGCGGGGGGGGGAGAGAGAGAAGGGGCGCTGTTTTATTTTGCCATGAAATGATAAAACGGTATTTTTGCTTTGCCCAACTTAAGAATGTGCAGGTTTTACAGTTTCACACAGCTTTTTTGCTTTGCGTGATGAAATGTGCCGTGAAAATACAAAACTTTGCAGTACAACGTGGCCAGTAAAAGAGAAGGTTACCTTAATTTCTGTATCTTTTGGGGCAAACCCAACCCAACATTGCCTTGGCCCTGGCATCTTGCATCCCCTTAACTTGGGTCACAGGAGGTTCAGCCGAGGGCTGCCATGAGGTTGAGTGGCCGCCCTGCACCATTGCTGTACTCCTCCTCCTCCTGATACATCCCAGGACTGATGGGTGTACAGAAAGCCTAGCAGGGAGCTATTTTGCACGGTATATCTTCATTTATACGATGGGGGCTCTTTTTCACGTGCAGGCCCCCAAGATGGGAGTCTGGCCCTTACGGGGTAGAGCTGCCAGCTTTCCTTCCATATTTGCTTTCCCTCTGTATCCAATCTGGAAATCAACTACGCCTGCAAACTTGGGTGATGCAAAGGGGGGTGGGAATTGGCAAGCATTTCCAAAATGGAAAATAATGAGTTTTTGAAATTACTTTTCTTTCTCTCCTCCTTTACTGTCCTGCAAGAATGTTATACTCCCCCTTTTAATTTAAAATAACACTAATTAGTATTTTTTTCTGTTCTCCTTTTAATCGCTCTATACAGCTGACTTGTGTGCATGTTACGTGCGTGACTATCTATAGCGTGTGTTCACCTTTCTCTCATTATTCTCTTTCTGTATTTCAGATAGTTACAAACAAAAGCATACCTCGAAACCTCCTGACCGAGGTAGTCCATTCTCTCTGTCTCCTATTTTATTTCCTCCTGACTTTGTTCTTCTGAAATGTTAGTTTTAAAAACTCTTTTCTTTTGTTTTTTGGAAAAAAAAAAGTGGGCACCAAAAAAAATCCACCCCCTCTTCTTACAATATGTGATTTGGTGTGTATTTGTGGTGTGTATATTACATTGGGGTTGCCTGTATATTGGAAACTCTTTTTAGGGAGATTCCTTCTGCAGTGTCATGGGGAGGGTGAAGATCCACCGTTTTGCTCAGGGTGTGATGGACCAAAATTCTAAATGTGTAGCTGAATCCATGGAGGGCTTTTTTGGGAAAATCTGCTGCCATATTTAAACGTCACTTATGCATACACAGAAATGTCGTCGGTTGTATTTTTTTTTATCCTGCTTTTCAGATATAAACTGTCCTGCAGTAATTAAAACTCAACAAGTGGAACGTATTGTAGAGTGCTCCTATTTTCCATTTCAGTCTTTTTCGCTCTTGACACTCCATCCGGCCACAGGCAGCCATCATTTCAATAGCCACAAAGCATTTCCTGTCTTCTTTGGCTTCTTACATAGGGCTTCCCCTTCACGTTGTTGTTCAGACTTTTTATTTTCTCGTACCCTCCATGTTTATGTCCAATTACGTTAATGCTTTTTGTTGCTGTATGAATGGTGGTGCTTTTGCTGTATAAGCAATGGCTCTCATACCTGGCCATTAGAAGGAGAGCAAATAATTAAGCAGTGTCATTGGAGGGTGCTGTGTTTAGGTGCAAATCGGGTGAGATGCTACCCCGAGGCTTACAAACTAAAAGACAAAGGAAAATAAGAGGGGAAAAGAGAAAGGACGTTAATCCATCGCCTTCTGCTTAAATGGTAGTTACAGATTTGTGGTCAGCTGAGGCCTGGCTGATGTAACTGGGAAAGAGGTAAACACTCATTAAGTGTTAGTTTTCTGGTGGCGGAGTGATAGATCCTTTTCCCTTACCCCGTTGCATTTATTAGATCCTTTTTATTCGTAGTGTTATAGACGACCCTTCATCTCTTAAAGTGGGGTTCTAGAGTGTGTACAGAGATATGGCGTAGCCTCAGAAAACGCATTATAATCCCCTGGTAATTGAAGAGGGTGAGGAAACAGACCCCCCCTAAAGCTGTTTCTTTTCTTTGAGGGTGGGGTGGCTGGTCTTCCCTTTTTGCAGTGCCCATCACGCAAGGAGAGGGTCACCTTCCCAGTGAGCTTCAACCTTTGGCCAACGAAAGGAGTCTTAAGTGGCTTTTCCCTCGGGGTAGCGGTCATGGAAAGGCCTGTCGTTCGTTTCTGGCCCATTGAGGTCAGGGAGAGAAGGATGCTGTTCCCAGGAAACGATTCGTCTTAAACAGAATCCTATAACACCGTTTGCAACAGCCTTTGGCAATGTATCTTGAGTCATTTCTTTGATTGATTCTACTCCTGGGATATATCATCTCCATATGAGAGATCAAGAATCTCTTTTCTCTTTCTTCCTCTTCCCGATTTGCCAGCCCACGATAGCATGGCTTTGTTTTTCTTCTTGTCCAGAACACAGTCTAGCTCATTTGAGTCTGTCGTCTGACGACCCACCCTTCTGTGATGCGTTTCCATTTTCTTTTGCAGCACCCCGTAGGCTTGTTCTCTGAGGTTGTGACTGTGTTAGGATATAATTTTTGCTGTCTGTTAATGCACCCAGACGCATACACTAGCCGGAAGAAAAAAATTTTAAAAAATGAACTTCTTGTCCCTGTCTCCTTGGGCTTTTTCTGCTGCCTTCATTCCATTTCTCTGCTGGGTAATGTATCTACGTGGCCTCCCCTTGGGACCACGTTAGTATGGGCCACGTGAATGCATTATCCAGCAGAGAAATGGAGTGAAGGCAGCAGAACAGCCCAAGAGGACGGAGAAGGCTGTTGAATTTTGCAAACTCTGAAAAACGATCGAGTCTTCCAATTTCTCTGCCTTGAAGAGGGTGGATTTTGAACTCCTTACTTGAGGCTCGCTCCGTTTGATGGCCCCCAGCGCTAAGGACCTAGGTGATTCTTGGTTGCAGTGTTGGCTAGTAAATGTATTTTTCCCTTTACCTTTTGAGCATTTTAGTGCAGTGGAAAAGGGCATTTCTGTAACGTTGCACCAACTTGTGCAAATAAAAGCCATAGGTATATATTTTGCCTCCAGGTGTTGAAAGCCTCAAAGGGATGCTAGTCAGAGGTCCATCAGCCATTTTTGTCATTATTTTCTCCCCCCACATAGAAACACCAATGTCAGTCTTTATTGCAGACGGCAGCCAGCAATTTGGACTGAACTGTAAAGGGTGTTCAGTCCAATCTGCTTCTGCCTTTGCAATGGTTACATTCTTTTGCTTATTTAAAAAACAATCAGATGGCTTCAGAGGTGGATGGTCCATCCCTCTGCTGCTTCAGGAAAGATAATGCAATCACCTGCCTTATTGTCAGCCATCCAGGACTTTATTTTAACTTATGCTGGCTTTTTTGCCTTTTTTTCTTCATCATGTGTTTGGAAAAAAAAACACGGATACCATTACTTGTAGTAAAAGAATCCTGTGTTAGTCTTAGAGATGGGCACAAACTAGTGGCTTGGTTGTTTATGGCGGTTCGTTTTGCAGCTGAACGAGGGTTTGATGCCCTTCCCAGCCCTGCCTTCTGCCTCAGGCACCCACTGAGAAACAGCCCCCCTGGCTTCCCTGCCCCGTCTCCTCCGGACTCTGCCTTTGCTGAGACCTTTCTCCCTTGACCGCCCAGAAGCTGCAGGAATCAACGGGCAGTGATAAGGATTGAGGCAGGCTGTGGTTCAAAACATCTGGAAGGCCAGAGATTTTGGCTGGTCCCTTGCAGAGAAGAGCCACCACCTTTCTTACAGCCTGGACGGCTCTCTGCTGACCCGTTTTTTTCAGGCGCTCCTCCCCACCTAGCATTGGGTAGCTCACCATTGATTCGGAGCGGACCTTTGGCTTTCTTTCCTTCCATCAGCCAGTCAGGGAGGGGCGGGGAAAGGGAATTGAACAGCATGGTCTGTTTGCACCAGGTGTTCAGTTTCTGTTGCCACAAAGAAGAGGACAAAACACGCACATCATAAATCGGCACATTCTGTACAATTCAGAGACAGATGGGAGACCAGGCACTCCGCGTTTTGCCCCCACGGACATTTATTGGCTCACAGAGTTTCACCAGATGTCGCCTGCAGCTCCTGAATCCCGTCTTCGCAGTCTTAAGGGTCAGCCTACTTTAAATTTTTGCTGGTAATGAAAGAAAGCAATTCTCAGTTTGGTGCGCTAAAGGAAATCACAAGATGTAGCTAGCCTGTGAAGTCTTATATACAGCCCAGCTTTCTCACTTCTGGTGCAATGAGTTAGATGGGTTGCAAGGCAGAACCTGGAGCAACTTTTAACTTTTAACATTGAACCGGAGCCGTCAAGAGAGATGGAGGCAGGCTGTGGGTGATCATTGCTCGTTGAGGGGTTCCTCTGTTCCTTCCCAGAAGTGCACAATATAGTGGAGAACTAGTTCTGGAATAGGATCAGATCCACTTTCTTTTCCAGATCTTCCCCATAGCCGGGGTTTCTGTGGAGTGGTGGTCCAAGGCTTTTTTCCTTCTCCCTCCTGTTCCTCCGAGCGTCGCTGCGGAATGGATTCCTTCTGTCCATCCACCTCGGCTTCTTTGGGAGCACAATGTGAAAGGAGAGAAGGGTAGCACCTGCCAGTGCAGGCTCTCAATGAATCAGCTGTGTTTACACAACCCATAAGAGAGACATAAATTTTTTTGGTGGCAAATTAGCTCTTCTGTTGCATGTTTTTTTTAATCCCCCAAAAAACCCTTGCAGGGCTCAACAGACTTTGGAAAGAATTTGGCTCCTTTCGCCCTTCCATCATATCTCTGACCCCTTGTAGAAGACAGGAACGTCTGAGGGAAACGTATGTGCTTCTTCCCATCAGCAGATTTTTCTTACGGTCTGTCTCAACAAAGGTCTGCTCCCTTTTTCCTGGGTTTGGACTACCCTCGGATTTGGTGCCCATGATTTAGTACCTCACTTTGCCTTGGCTACTACGCTGGCAGTGTATTCCTAATAGAGCCAGATTTTTAAAAAAATGTTTGATAGTCTTTGTTTTGCTAAAGACAGGCGGGTGGGGATTGTAAGGAGGTGCTATAGAAACGGGAAATGGGTTGAGGAGTGAAAAGCGGAGTACAGCAACCAGACCCTAATTTGGCTTTTATGGCTGGAAGTCCTGGTCGTTTCTGTCCCGGGATCTTGACCAACGTTGTCCACCGCTATGTGCAACGTGGCTATACAACAAGGATAGGCTGATTAAAGTCTCTGCTGAACTAATGAAACTCCCTGGATGTGCTTGAGGCAGCCACACACATTCAGCCAAGCCTACGCCACCAGGTTGTTGTGGCGAGAATGAAATGAGGCAGAGAGGAGCGCCATAGACATGGCCTTCCACTCATGGGGCAAAAGGTGGGATATAACTGATAAAACCAGGCGTTCTGTATATTGTACAGTATAAACAGATCTCCTGCTTTAACGACCATCCAGGTCATCTGAGCTAACTTTGCAGTCAAAGGAGCAACCTTAATTTTAGGACTATCCCTGGCAGAGGAATTTCCCATCCCTGAAACCAGGCAGATGATGGAAGGAGAGAAGGACAGTCTCTCTCTCTCTCTCTCTCTCTCTCTCTCTCTCTCTCTCTCCCTCCTCTGCCCATCTGCTTGAGAGAAAGCTTGTTTCTCCCAGCTGGCGAGGAGTGCAGTAAAAAACAGAAGTCTCGTGGTGCCTTAAAGACTTAACATTGATTTCAGGTTCTGAGCTTTTGTAGATGGCAAGCCATGGCCACAGACGACTTGCATTTCTGTGCTTGCCGCCGGAGACCGGACGTCCTTTCTGTTCCAGCCAACGTGGACAACGGAGGCTAGCAAATTGGACGTTGATGGTCTGGGATAAACAGGCGCAAATAGGTTGTCCTCTTTGATATGCTGTGCATTGCACAGGAGATACAGGCCTGGCCGTCGAGAGTATACAGTCGGTTCAACAGGTCTGAGCGCCTCTCTCTCAAAATTTCTACCCATCCCACACCTGCACCTCTTCTCCTTAGATGCTTCAGGGGGTGACCCCGAGGGAGGCCCGGAAATCTGCCACCCGCCACTGGGCCCTCTCTGTGGTGGCCACATCGCTCTGGAATACCCTCCCATTCGAGGTGTGATTCCATACATCCCTCCTCGGTTTTGGGAGAGATCTTGAAACCTGGCTGTTTTCACCAGCTTTTCATGGCCTTACTCTAGATTAATCTTGAGTCGTTGTATTTTTGAGCCTGTGAATTTGTTTTTGTCTGCCACCTATTATTGTATTTTGTGTTGTTTTTTTTTAATTACTTTCTTTCTTCTTTTTGGTACTAGTTATTTTATTTTTAGATTTTTTTTCCCTGTGGTGTTTCATTTGAATTTTATGACGGCTCCATTATACATTTATACAACATTACTTTGTTCTGTGTGTCGCCCAGCCTCGTAGCCTTGCTAGACAGGATAAGGATACAGTGAAATAAATTGAATAATAAACAGGCAAGGACTGATGAAAGCAAGGAAAATAAAGGCAGGGAGAAGCAGAACATGCTGTTCTTTCAGTTTACAGGTACTGGGCTTTGACTCCAGGCTTAGTCGCATCCGGGCCCAGGAACTAAGGGGTTGGGATAAGAGGCTGAATGGGAACTTGAATTTGAGTAGGGAAGAGGAAGATTGGCCACATCACCCAGGCTAATGGGGAAGGCCATTCCAGCCGCACGAGAAGGCAGCAGGGAGACGCCTGAATCGTGTGGAGGAGTAGGGGATGATTGTGTCGTTGTGGTCCACGGGTGTGTGGAATTTATTGTGCACACTATATGGAAGGACAGAGAGCCCTGTGGGCTTTGGCTGGTTGCAGAAGTAGGAAGACAGCGCGCGATTCCACTGAATATCTATGCTTTTGTCTTCTCCCTTCTGCAGCCGGACACAGCCCATAGGGCTCTTTCTCAACAAGGATCAGAAATGTGGTTTGGTTCTTCTTTTCCCCCTTCACTCCCACCCCCAAGAGACGTAGGTTGCCCACGGTGCCAACGTAGGCAGTTGTTATGTCACTGCGTTCTTTCAATACTGTTCCCGTGCTGTCTTGCTTTGGAGGGGAACTGCTCAGGTGCTATGAATGCTACTGCAAGGTGATGAGGATAGAGAGATGGATATTTAAGAAATCCAAGATGCATGTAGAAATCTGTATTTGAAATTTTGTACGATGCCCTGTTCTTGGGCTTTGTGCTGTTGCTGTCGGTGGACGCACTGGTAAGTTGAGGGAGCAGCACCGTTTGTGAGTGTGTGTGTTTGTGAAAGTTAGCTGAAGATGGCAGTGTGGGGATTTGTTGCCACGGGTTGAAGGAGATATCCCTTGGCTACCGAGAAGCTGAGCCTATGTCTGTGTCTTTTCTAAAATTCCTTCCTGTTTAGTCTGTGGAAAGCGCTACAAGAACCGCCCTGGTCTGAGTTACCACTACGCACACTCCCATCTGGCCGAGGAAGAGGGAGAGGACAAGGAAGATTCACAGCCCCCCACCCCTGTTTCTCAGAGATCCGAGGAGCAAAAATGTAAGCTTCTAACATTTATTAGTGTTTCATTCCTGTTCCTTTGGCCCTCAAAAATGTTGAAAATATCCGGCACGGCCCTCGTGGTCAAAAGTTTGGAGACCCCCCTGGTTTAGAGGATACATCTCTTGCTCCACTCCCAGTATGCCTTTCATTTTAGAAATTACAGTAGGAGCCTCTTATCCGTGGGAGCAGTATCTCCTTGACTCACTTAACCACAGCCTGAATATATTAAAGATATTAAAAGAGAAATATATTTCTAAAGGTGACGTTATCAGAACTGGCTACAAGAGAGAACCAGAAACCAGGCTCTCTCTATATATAGCGTTCATTATGATCCACTTTTTCAGCGTGTGTGTACTTGGAACCAATCCCCTGCAAATACGAGCATCCTACTGTAACGAGAGTCATCACAGCCCAGCAAGGGGAAGGGCAAAACTGCCCAGTTTTCCAACTGTAGTTAACTCTGGGTGCTTGCTTGACTTCTGTAATCCTTCCCCTTCCTCGTTTGCATGCAAATTGCCCGGTGTCTTCTGTTCTCAGAACTATTTATTTCTAGTGCCTTGTTACTTCTGTGGCTGTGTATGCTGCAAGGGTTGGCCCACCTCTAGTCCTGCTCGACTCCTGAGGACAGTTCCCAATCATGATCAGAATTAGGTTTAGAATTTGGAGTGGCCAGGTGGTGGAAGAACCTTGTTGATAGAAGCTCCGTCTGGATTAGCTTCTAATAGGAGCGGGGAAGTGGCCTTTGCATGGAGGGTGGAGGATCCCGAGGGTCGTTCCTGTTCTCTTATCAGGGCCGTAGAAGACATTTCCACTTGTACGGGAGCCTGTGGGACAGACTGGGCTGCCGCTTGAGAAGAATAAAGAGGTGGGAGGGTGTTGCGGGAGGTTTTCTTGCCGTCGGAGCGCTTAAACAGCCACACTTTCTCTCCCATTAGCTAAGAAAGGCCCCGACGGTCTGGCTTTGCCCAATAATTACTGCGACTTCTGTCTGGGAGACTCCAAAATCAATAAGAAGACGGGGCAGCCGGAAGAGTTGGTGTCATGTTCTGACTGTGGGCGGTCAGGTAAGTGGCTGGGAAAGGAAAGCGGCCAGATCCTGCACGCGCGGTGACGTTGCTCAGCGCTCTGCTGTCATCTGCCTTTTATCGGCTGGCACAGCTGCTCCGAGTTCTCTCTGATCTGCCTGCTAAAAAAATCCTCCTAACTTCAGCCTGGTGGATTGTTGTTGAGTCCAGCCTCTGTTTCACAGGTTCCTGAAATATTCTGATCCAATGGGGTACATTAGGGCCAGTCCTGTATATTCCCGAAGGCTTTCACGGCCAGGATCCGAGGGTGGCTGTAGGTTTTTGGGGCTGTTTGGCCGTGTTCTGGAGGTTTTTCTTCCTTTCTTTGGTTGTTGTAGGAAAAAACTACAAGAACCAAAGAAAGGACGAAAAAAACCTCCAGAACACGGCCAAAGAGCCCCAAAAACCTACAACCGCCACCAGTCCTGTATGTTCCTTATGACCGCTTTTTCCTCTCCGGAGATTGGCCACCTCCTTTAAGAGGGAGGCATGTGTGAATCTCATGTAAGACACCTTAAAAATAGCGAAAACGGACCTGTCAAAACCATTGAAATGCATTGAAACCTATTCAGTGCATTCCAGTGGGGGAACAGCGTTTCGCTTACCGATGTTTCCTATGGCGATTTTCGCTAAGGGACGGTAATCCGTTCCCATTGGAACAGATTATCCAGTTTTCAATGCATTCCTATGGGTAATGGTGTTTCGCTTAGCGATGTTTTCCCATAGCGATATTTTTTAAACCAATTAACATCGCTAAGCGAGGCACCACTGTATAGGGTTGGCTAGCGAAATATTTTCCCCTGATGTCATTACCAGAACTAGTCACTAGAGGGGGGCAGGGACCCTGCAATGTATACTGTTCCCTATTAGAATCGTGTTTGCTATAATCCACGTTTTTGAGCAGCCACAAGGAGGACTTCTAATCCATTCCCCACAGAAATGTGGATCCTGCCGTCCCTTGGAGGTGGGACTCAGATGCCGTACCAAGGAGAGTCTGCTCGTTTCTCTACCCGTCTCAGAGGACAGGAGATAAAAAGAGACGTGTCAACCTCTGTATGCTATTCCATCCAGAGCCCTCCATATGCTTTTCCCTCGTGGGAGATCTCCCGTAACATCTTCTCCTTTTCCATTCCCAGGGCATCCTTCTTGCCTGCAGTTCACACCCGTCATGATGGCCGCCGTGAAAACGTACCGCTGGCAGTGCATTGAGTGCAAGTGTTGTAACATCTGTGGGACCTCTGAGAATGACGTGAGTACTCCTCCCCCAGGGTGCCCCTCAGCTTCTTCTCTGCCTCTTTTTGGGGATAATAGAAGAGATCCTTTTCATCCTCTCTTCTTGTTGATTCCACCATGCCCCTTCTCCTGTGCTCTCCCTTATCCCTCCCTCTTTCATTCTCCTACCTCAATGACTCCAGTTTTCTCTGCCTCTTTTTGGGGATAACAGAAGAGATCCTTTTCATCCTCTCTTCTTCTTGTTGATTCCACCATGCCCCTTCTCCTGTGCTCTTCCTTATCCCTCCCTCTTTCATTCTACCTCGATGACTCCAGTTCCCTTCTTATCATCCCCAAATGTGGCCTGAACGAGACTGTTAGAAACAAGGCACTTTCCCCAACCAACTTCATGTGGACAGCCATGAGCCACCAAACCTGACTTTATTTCACTTATTAATACGGATAATTTTATAGTATGATGCATTATTGCAGAAATGCACCGGGTAGGTTTTAATTAATCAAAACACAAATACAGTGGTGCCTCGCACAGCGAGGTTAATCCGTTTCGGATTAACCCTCGCTGTGTGAAACATCGCTGTACGGAAAGAAAAAAGCCATTGGAATGCATTAAACTTAGTTTAATGCGTTCCAGTCGGCTGATTTACTCACCGTACATCGATGTTCCTCTACACCAAACCTGACTTTATTTCACTTATTAATACGGATAATTTTATAGTATGATGCATTATTGCAGAAATGCACCGGGTAGGTTTTAATTAATCAAAACACAAATATTAGGAAGGCCTTTCTCTCTTTGCGGTAGGGTTGTGATTGGATTGATGCTTCTCCTTCTCCGAACAGGCTGAGCTGGGCTTTAGGGAAGCCTTCCTGTTGAAGGAAAGGGAGTTGAAGCTGCGTTTGTAGTTCACTCCCGCAACATCCCCCACACTGTTCTGGAGAGACCCCTGACTCTTTACATCAGCATGGAGGCTATAGGTGGGAAGAGGCATCGGTAAAAATCCGCTGCCCGCCTTCCTCCACAAGGAAGACCTCCGTGCATGAAGCTCCATTCCGTTGTGCACCATGGGAAGAGGCTTGCTTCCTTAAGCCTTGTCTTATGAATACAGTAGAATCCCCATATCCACATAATTGGTATCTGTCTATTCATTTATCTATAGGAGGCATCGGTAAAAATCCGCTGCCCGCCTTCCTCCACAAGGAAGACCTCCGTGCATGAAGCTCCATTCCGTTGTGCACCATGGGAAGAGGCTTGCTTCCTTAAGCCTTGTCTTATGAATACAGTAGAATCCCCATATCCACATAATTGGTATCTGTCTATTCATTTATCTGTAGTCTGAATATATTAAAAGAAAAAAAAAGCTATTTTTGTGACGAACGCCTCGCGGGCCCGCTCCGAGCAGTTCATTAACCTGCGCGAGGTCAGCACCCGGTTCCGGCTACCCCCGGGAGAGTACATCGTGGTGCCTTCCACGTTCGAGCCAAACAAGGAAGGGGATTTCGTGCTCCGCGTCTTTTCGGAGAACAAAGCCGGGACGGTGTAAGTCATTCACGTCCGGGGGCTGCGTTGAGGTAGGGCGATGAGGGAACTACTGTCTGTAACCAGAACATAAAGAGCGGGTTTATTCACTAGGTCCTTTGTATAGGTCGGAGCAGTACCGGTGGTTTCACTTATTCCTGGTCTGAAAATATATTAAAAGGAGAAAAAACTAGAAATGCATATTTTCATGAGGTGTTTACCAGAACTGACCACTAGAGGGAGGCAGAGACCATGCTATGTATTCTAGTTGAAGAACGCATGTCTCTGGCTCCCTCAAGTGGTCCGTTCTGGTAATACAGGGTGAAAATATTTGTTCTGGATTTTTTGGGGGGGGGCTAGTCGCTATTATTATCCATGGTTTACAGTATCCATCGGGGAGCTTCAAATCAATCCCCCCATGACTTCAGGGGTCATACTGTAATTATGTGCCGTTCCATAGTTCTCAGCCTCACTAACTTCATAGAGCAATTTGGGGGGGGGGTTAGGGTTAGTGCATATCCATGAGCTCCTGAAAAGAACAAATGTCAGTCAGAGAAAACCATAACACCAATAGAGGTCAGCAACAAACCTTGGTGGCCAGATTTTATTGCTTATCCTTAAATACAATAGAATAATCTGCATTCTCTCCCCCCCCCCCACGTGTTCCCTTCCCATCTTGCTTAGGACCAGCTGCTTTTTTGTGATGACTGCGACCGCGGCTATCATATGTACTGCCTCACCCCACCCATGTCAGAACCTCCTGAAGGTAAGGTGCCGCTCAGACCCGTTTCCTTTCACTTATTTTTGTGTGTGTGTATGTAAGTGTCATTTTTTGGGAGGCAGCAGGAAGAGAACGCGGTTCCAAGATCACCTGGGCACAGACATTAAAAAAACTTCGCAGTTTCGTTTGGCATAAACTTTGGTGGAGTGCCGCCCCCCCCCAGTTCATCAAGTGCCATGAGTTGCAGCACTTGAGAGCTTAATGCCAGTTTTTTTGTTTAACGTCGGTCTTTTAAGTTGCCGCGAGGTTCTTGGCGGCTCTTGATGCCACTCATTTATGGAGCCATCGCCCTAGGAATTTAAACACAAATTGGTAACCCCATTTCTGGTTACTCCTCTGTTCGTGTGGTTCAGAGGGATGGATGGTGTGCTCCCGGAAAGATGGTAATTTTGCATTTCCCCTTGTGGCTGTAAAGTTAGTTTTGTATTTTTGAGAGCCAGAGCGCTACTATATTTATTTCTTGGGAGGGGGGGAGAGGGAGAATGAGCAGTCAGAAACAGCATACAGTGGTGCCCTGCATAGCGAGGTTAATCCGTTCCGGATTAACCCTCGCTATGCGAAATCGTCGCTAAACGGGGTAAGGGAAATGTATTGGAACGCATTAAACTTCGTTTAATGCGTTCCAATACCTTTGTTACTTACCCGTTCAGCGAGGATTCCAGGTGCCGGCAGCCGGAACGCATTAAACTTCGTTTAATGCGTTCCAATATCTTCGTTACTTACCCGTTCAGCGAGGATTCCAGGTGCTGGCAGCCATTTCCGGGCTTCCGGCGGCCATTTTGGAACCGCCGATCAGCTGTTTGGCGGCTCCAAAATGGCCGCCGCAATACCCGATCTTCGCAATGCGGGTTTTCCCCATTGCGACGATCGGAGGAGTTTCCGTATAGCGATCCCGAAAAAGGGATCGCTATACGGAAACATCGCTATATGGTGCACTCGTTAAGCGAGGCACCACTGTATTATATTTAGCGCATGAACAATATCTTTTTTTATTTACTCTTTTGAACCAACGCCAGAAAAGGCTCTTCAAATTTAACGATAGATCAGTAAGTTTGAGACCTGGTTGCGGAGCCAGAGGTTGGGAGTGTTCGCCACTCTTCCTCCCAGGAGGAGAATAATCTTCCTGCATAGCCGGGTCCCAAAGCATTCCTAGAAGAAGGGAATGCTAAGCCACTGGTATACCTAGAAAGCCCTGGAAAAGGGGTCACCCTGAGCCAGATTGTATTCGAAGCCATATTATAATAAAAGTTGAATGGAGATTTTACTCATTAGAAGCATTAATGGGGGGGGGGAACACTCGCTCTCCTGGAGGGCACATTCCCTTTCACAGTCCCATGTTCAAAAAGAAAAGGGGTCTATGCATTGCTTTTAAAACTAATCAGAATCATGGGGTTGGAAGAGTCCTAAAAGGCCATCAAGTCCACACACCCCCGCCCGCTCAAGGCAGGGATCCAACTCAAAGTAGATCCGACAGAGGTTTGTCTAACTTTTTCTCGAGTGCCTCCAGCGTTGGAGCGCGCCCCACCTCCTGAGGTCCATTATCCTAGTGCTTTTGCAATTAAGAGGTATTCCCCGATATTCAAAGGAAATCTGCCTTCCGGTCGCTCGAGCCCATGATGATGTGTCCTGTACTCTGGGGTGATTGAGAACAGATCCTGCCCTTCCTCTGTAGGACAACCTTTCAAAGATTTGAAAAGGGCGCTCTGGTCTCCCTTCCATCTTTTTCTCAAGGCTCAGCCTGCCGAGTTCTTTCCGTCTTTCCTCCGAGGGCTTCGTTTCCAATCCCTTGCTCATCCTCCTGTTGCTTGGAGGGCAGTGTCCAGACCTGGCCTGAGCACTCAAGATGAGGGCTGACTCGTGCCAAACAGAACCCAGGACCTCACAGGATGGGGAGACTCTCCTTCAGTGAAGGCGTCCTCTAAAATCGCATCTGCCTCCTTCGCAGCCCCATTGCACGGTGGGCTCATCTCCTGTGTATGATCTACCACCACCCTTCTCACTTGCCGTATGCTTGAGCCAATCCTCTTTATCTTGCAACTGTGCAATGGGTTTGCACTGATCCTTTTTGAATTTAGTTCTGTTGTTTTCCGCCCCAGTGCTCAAGACCTTTTTTTTGAAATTTGTACCTCTCTTCCAGTAGATTAGCGGTTACACCCAATTTTGCGTCAACTCCAAATTTGCATTCAGAAGCCTCCCTCTGGTGACGAGCCTATGGGATTTCTCAGAGTGTCTCAGTTTCAGTCTTCACAGCATCAGGATCTCTCCCCCCCCAACAAGGTGGAGAACCCTTGCTTTTGTTAAGAGTCAATTGGCCACTTCTGGCAACATCGCTCTGGCAGGACGCTATGGGAAATCCTGCCCCACCGTCAAGGCCTGAAAAAAACCCTGGTCTGAGAGTTCTCGCTGCCTCATCCAAGGTAGCGTTGAAATCACAGCGGCCAATTCTTCTCCCACCAAAATCCGTTCAAAAGCACTGCGCGGCACTGAAAAGGGATATTGGCTCCAGTCTCCCTTCTCACGCAGGGCTGTAAAAATGGCCGGGTTGCATAAAAACAAAGAATGAATGAACGTGGACCCCAAAACGATGCAAGCAGAACTTCTTTTTTCTTACCGAAGTAGCTGTTCAGGCCTCCAACAGTCCCAACAGCTAAGCGGCTACAATTCTGAATCCAGTTCTGCACTAAGAAAAGGGAAAACTTATTTGCATAAAAACAAAGAATGAATGAACGTGGACCCCAAAACGATGCAAGCAGAGCTTTTTTTTTCATACCGAAGTAGCTGTTCAGGCCTCCAACAGTCCCAACAGCTAAGCGGCTACAATTCTGAATCCAGTTCTGCACTAAGAAAAGGGAAAACTTATTTGCACCACCAGAAATGATGGTGGGTTGGCTGATTTTTTTCCCCCCCTCTTGGCAGCCCCCCAATGGTAGGGCGAATTCCTCTGGGACGTCAGCTGCAGGCTGAGCCGCCTTTTCCATTTCAGAAAAGCCTTCGAGGGAGAAACTAGTGCGAATCACCCCAGTTTCATCTTGCATGGAGGCTGTGGGTTTATGCTTCCCCCCCCCCTTCCATATAACCTTATTTTCCCCTGGGATGGCTGGATGGGAAAAATAATGGGCAACTTACCTTTGGGGAGGGGGATTTAAGCCATTAAGCCACTACGAATGGACTTTTAACTTACTTAGTCTCATGGGTTAATACCTGAATAATGTGTCTCGGAGTTTACAGATCTGTTTAGCGTTTATACACCCTTCTGGTCGCTTATCTCTGGCCTTACCTGCGTTCCTCATCTGGCTAGTATATCTGACTTCTGTCCTTTTTGCAATATGTTTAGGCTTCCCTCTTTGCTGTCTAATTGATCGCCTTCCTGTGTGACCCAGTTCTTGTTTTTCTCCTTTTTAACAACACATTCCTTATGTTGGTAAAAAGTTCACGTCTTCATACTTAAAGGTTTCTTAATATCTAACATGGGGAGCTGATACAAAATAATATCCTACTTACACTAGTCATCAGCAGGATTGAAAATGAATTTGTCACCAATGTGGCAGGAGGACATTCTCTCAAAATGTAGGTGGGCCATTTCCTTGTCTGGACCAGAACAGTTACATATGCCTGAAAAAAGCCTAAACTCTAAACCCACTGCCCCTTTGTTCAGTGATGTAAAAAATTAACGCACAGTTTAAGATTAACACAGGCTGTGGGCCTGCTGCTGAAAAGACCCTTCTGAAATACTGAGTCAGCAACGGTTATGTAACTTGAGTTCATGAACTGACTCCTAGAAGCCGCCAAAATTTGCCTTGTCATGCTCCATGCAGTGTTTTTCCTAATAAAGACCAAGTTCGTAGATATCAGTGTACCCCCTGTTGAAAATCAAGCTTAAAAATTAATTTGAAGTTAAATGTGAGAAGTAGAAAAATTATTGCTGACTGCCTTAACTGAAATATTACTTTCTGGTGCCTACCAGTGAGATGTCTTATTTCACACTCTCCTTAATATCTCCTTTACAGAATGCAATAACTTTTTCACTATAAACCAATGCTTGCTGTAACACCCAGGAACCTTAGTTCATCTGATTGTCAGGAGCTGGTGGAATTTTCGAGGTATCTGGTACCATCAAAAACTGCAAAATTATTGCCCTGTAAACAATAAACCAGTATTTCCCCTCTTATGCTGCTTGGAAGAAGGATAATACGGCATGTGAGAAAAATCTTGGGAGTCGTTGTAGATCACACGCTGAATATGAACCAACAGTGCAACGCGGCTGCAAAAACAGGCCAAAGTTGCATTAACAGAAGTATAGTCCCCAAATCCTGCGAAGTATCTTGAATGCCTTGTCCATTTTTGAAACACCGCTGTTTGCAAACTAGAACAAGTTCAGAGGAGGTTGATAAGGATGGTCAGGGACTGGAAACCAAGCCTTAGAAAGAAAGACTGAAAGGTCCTACCGAGGAGGGGCAGGATCTGTTCTCAATCGTCCCAGAGTGCAGTACACATAATAATGGGCTCAAGGTACAGGAAGCCAGATTTCCATTGATTATCAGGAAAAAAAACACTTCTTAACTGTTTGACCAGTACAGTAATGGGACCTGTCTCCTTGTGAGGAGGTGACGGCCTTATGGGCCCCTATCCAGCTTTGTTAGTCTGTCATTCTGTGGTTCTTTGCTGGGCTGCCTCCCAGTGAGAATGGCTTGCTTCAGTAACAAAGCCTTCTTCCAAATTTGCAACACGACCAGAGGTGAATTCAGAGACAACTGTATCTTAGGGGTGCCGGTGTGCGGAGTTCTTGCTTTCAGCTGCTTTCCTGAATTTGCCAACCCTTCTTTGTTGCTTTTTTGTTGGTCTTTGCAGGGAGCTGGAGCTGCCACTTGTGTCTGGACCTGCTGAAAAGCCTCGCCTCGATCTATCAGAACCAGAACTCCTCCTGATGGGCTTTGTGGGCTGAAGAACCAAGGGAGAAGAACGAGGCGCCTTCAGTTGTCTGCTATGTTACAGGGCTCTGTTTCTGGTTTAGTCTAGTCTTGAAATGCCTCTCTGTCTCCTTGACCAGTCGATTTGGGCCCTGCTGGCTTTCTCTGTCATCCTCCTCACCGTGGTTCAGGGGTAAAACCTCTCATTTAGCTCTTGCCGGGGAGTATAAAGGACTCCATTGCCCCTTTCTCATGAGACCCCCCCAGTACCCATGGCTGGTTGAGGAGTGCCCGTCAGAGACCACTGCATCTACGGCCTTAAGACTCCAGGAGGGAATTGTCAACTGGCCAGGATGTGCTCCTAACTGTTCTTGCTAGAACAAGGGCCAGTCCTCCTGGTTTTGTTAACATTGTGCTACTAAATTAACAGCCGCCGTTGCGTGAGCACAGCTTGCAATCTTAAAAAAAAAAGGAGCACTCTTGGTATGATGTCTAAAAATAGTTTTCTTTTCCTGTATTCAGGCATTTAACCTCGTTTTCTGGTTGGAGGGGGAGATCTAGAGGATTCTGAACTCTGCCTGCTTTGATTTTGCCATCTCCCTACGAATGTGGTCTCCTCCCTGGTATAGTTGAGCATGACTCTGGCGCTGGTCTAGAGTGGCCGGCCTCTTAATCCCAGGGGATAAGGCTTGACCGTGTGGGAACCCAGCCTTGGAGGGGTTTAGCAGTGAACCATGACTTGGCTTAGGCCTCTGTGGAAACGGCGACCGTTTCTTTGACTTGGGAAAGATCTTCTGAGGTCTGTTCTTGTGATGAAAAATGAAACATTTTCATAGTATAGACGCTCCATTGCCTCTTCAGCGTTTTTGGAAACACTCGGAGTTACGGTTTTTCTTTTTAAAAGCTCAGACTGGGTCTTGTAGGCATTGGGAAAGACCTGCTTTTTTTTTTTCCAAGAGTGCCAGCGTTTTTGACAGCCCTCTTAAGAATAAACTTGATTTGAGGGGGCTTGAACATGGCGCCACGTTTTTTTTATGTACAATAGGACCCACCCTGTATTCACAGGGGATTGGTTCCAAGCTCCCCTGTGAATGGTGAAAACCTCAAATAATAGCAAACATTATACAATTGCATGGTAGAAGAACAAAAATCCAGAAATACGTATTTTCCCCATGTATTACCAGAACTGGCCACCTGAGGGAGACAGAGACCATGCTATGGATTCTTCAACAAGAATCCATAGCATGGTCTCTGGCGCCGTCTACTGGCCAGTTCTGGTAAATACATTGTGAAAATATGTATTTCTAGTTTTTTTTTTTTCTTTTAATATTTCTAATATGTTCAGGCCGCGGAGAAGCAAAATCCATGGATGCTGATCCCGAAGATAAGGGGATCCTACAGAGTAGTAAGGTTTAATACGTTTTTAGTCACTGAGAAGCCTACCCCAGTCTCTTGCCAGCATGTTGGATTTGTTATCACCTGCTTTTCTCATGGGTTGAAAGAGAGGTCCTTCCCTTCTTGGGACCTCTTTCGGAAGCTGGGAGCTAGATGGTGGCGAGGATCTTCTGGGATGGCAGGGGTTTTTTTTTGTCTCCCTGGAGCAGGGCTTGTTTGAAGGGAATCTCCCTTCCAGTCTGCACCGGATGCCAACAGGCTGCCCCAAAGCCTTCAGTTCTCTGCGCTCCCCCTGCATCTTTTCATGTGCCTCTTTGGGAACATTGGCTACAGGGCATGGCATTGCCTGTGTGTGTGTGTGCCCCACTTTTTTTTTTGTTTATTTTGCTCCTTGCCTTACTTGATGTTTCTCGGCTGAGTTCTGATTCTCCACCCTTCACGAGAGGTGATGGCAGGGCAGTGGGATCTGAACCGTTTACGTTTTTTTCAATCCTTGAAAAACTGGAACCTGCCTCGCTTTCTAGGAGTGAAAGCTTCTCTTCCATTTCCTTCCCTGCTCCTACCATTTCACCCGATGACGAAAAGAATCGGTCCTAAGAATAAGTGACGTTGAAAAAAGCCCTTTTTGATCCTTAATGTCTCTTTTTCTTTTTTTTAAAGGGAGTTTTGCTTTAGCATCCCAACTGGGGAGGGAGAAGGTGTTTTCTCTGGAATAGGGTTCTGTGTAATATTATACTAAAAATGTGCCTGTTTTTTCTAAAAAATTGACTTCAAACCTACCTCCAAAAGCCGCCACCACCCCCCGGTCAAGCATCCCTTCCACACCTGCAAAACGCATTCAACATTCCTTCGCTTGCCCTCCCCTTTTTCTTCTTTTCCCTTGCAGAAAGTGGTTCAAGGTGCTTCAGGGAACTGGCAAAACAGGGAAGGGGCTGTTTTGAGTCATTTTTGCCTCGTGAGTTCGAATCTAGCCTACACGGAAACGCTGGGGTCTGTTGGTCTGGCTTCACCTAAGATGGAAGGATGGGTGTCATTTTCTCCGTTGCTCTCTTATGAGATAAGATAGGCCTTAGGGAGACCGGATTTCCGGACAGAGTTATCTGTGTGAAGAAGTGGGGGCAGGTGGTGGGGACCATGGACAACATAATGAGACTCTAGAGCCCTTCCACTTTGTTTAGATTGAAGGGGTCGGGTGGACAGAGGCCATTTATTTAAAAAAACAAACATACAAAAAAACATATTTTAAGATGGTTTGTTGCCCCATCCCCTGGTAGGGAACGTGTCCTTGTTCAAAGCTTCACACCTGTGTCTTAAAAACAAAACAAAAAAAATGCTATCCAAATAAAATGCCAAAATGACTCGTTTGGCCCTTGGTTGCAGTCTGTTAATCCAGGTGGTGAGGATAATCTAAAATCTCTCTCTCTGTCTATCTGTGTGCAGCCTTGCTGCGTTGTGATGATTCTTATGCTCAGGTTATTGCTGTTGGTTTGCCGGAGTGGGGTGGGGGTGGGGGTTAGGGTTATGGGAAGGCTATTGTTTGCATATACATATATAATAATTTTCCGGAAGCAGGTCCCCGGTTTCTTACAGTAGCTTGCTTCCGCACTCTCCCTGGTGTCTGGAATCAAGAAGGGCCATTTAGAGTTTCTCAAAGCCCTCGTCCCTTCTGTTTCTAGGACACGCAGGGAATACCTCAGCCCGTTTGCTTTGTTGCGCTTCCAAGTCAATTTTGCATTTGGATCGCCATTTCTCCTCTACACTACACACTTCCTTCCCCCTGTTCTTCTTCGTGGTCTCTGAGTCACACATTTCTAGGACACGCAGGGAATACCTCAGCCTGTTTGCTTTGTTGCGCTTCCAAGTCAGTTTTGCATTTGGATCGCCATTTACACTACACACCTCCTTCCCCCTGTTCTTCTTCATGGTCTCTGTGAGTCACACGTAAGGGTTCCTTCTGCGCTTTGGACAGATTTAATTCTTAGAATGGTTAAATCGCCGCAACCGGAGGGCCAGCAACCACCAGCTAGGTCTAACCCTGTCGACAATCTGATGAATAAAAATGTGGCTACAACCTGCCCACTTGTGTGTACTCACATCACTCTTAGACCTGGTGAAGAAGCAACGGCAGGAAAATCCGGTCTTCTCCCCAATGCGGTCTTGTGTCACATCTGCAAGAAAGTGGCTTGTCCCGTTCTTCATTAAGTTGTAGTCTATCAAGTTCATGGCTCTAATGAATAGAGGTTTTCCAGAGATGCAATGCTTCAATTTTATTTTATTTTTTGAAATGCTTAAGAAATGTCTACCCGGACACATGACCGTCGCTAGCGCCGTGCCCTTTTCCCCTGGTGCTTAACCACCTTGTGAAGCCGTCCTTCAAGCCAGATCTTAGATTACTCTTGTGCAAGATTGTATTTTTAGTGGCACTTCCCATCAGCAGGAAAAGCGAGCGAACTATGTGATTCTTGGACACGAGCCACGTTTTCTACAGTTCCATAAAGACAAGGTGACAATATTTGGTGAGCCGTCTTTCTTATCTAAGGTGGTTTCGGTCTTCCACATCGATCATCCTCTGGTTCCACCAAACATTCTTCCCCTCCCCAGTTTCTTGTTTTAGAGAAGTCACTCTACGCGTTGGGTGTTTGCAGAGCTTAGAACTTTTACATAACGGTTCCAAAAGTCTTCTGAACTGTTCGCAAGTTGCTAGGTATCAAGGAATGGTGAACAACATCGCCTTGTGACGATTATCTTAATGGATGGCGAACACTATAACTCTGACGTACCAGATAGCAAAGAAGAAGCACTCAACGTGGCTGTTTCTCAAAGGGGTTCAGTTGAGAGACCTTCGCAACGCGGCGTGACCGACTGCCCGTCTGTCCAAAACGAGATGCCATTTTTGTCTTGGAGCGACCGCCCACCAGCAAGTGAGTAAACTTGCCCATCACAATGCGATTCACAGAGACCACAAAGGAGGAAGGCAGATCACGTACGGGGTAACGGTAGTTCCTTGAGCGGTCATCTCTGAATCCACACCACTTTCCCATCGTCCTCTCGGTCTGCCGTGCAAGGATATGATTTTATTGGACTTTGGGACTAGAGGATTAGCTACAGGGTGGGGAGCATGCACAGTAGTAGAGGGGTGTGCGTGTACTAATGGACTTTTTAGGTTCTGGCACGTTCTGAAGATGTCTGTGGAGGTGCAGAAAGGACCCATATGTGCAAATTCACAGAAGACCACTCGAAGAACTAGAGTTACACTCAAGCCCCCCTGGCCTTCTACCAAAGCCAGTATTCGGTGGCTTGCTTTCTCTTGCCCAGGTAATGAATTCACAAATGATTTTATTTTAAGTGTTTGGAAGTCATAGAGGCACTTCGAAGAAAACAAAGAAAAAAATTCGGAGCCCCTCGTCCTCCATCTTTTTATTGCTGTTGAAGCTAAAATGTGTTTTGGCTTTTTAATTTTATTTTAAGGTACTGTAAGAAACATTAGTGAATAAATATCATTTTTACACAGGTGGGGGGTTCTCTGTTATTTCTGGGCAGATACCTATCATATAATTGATTCCCACTTGTTACTACCAGAAGGTGGTGCTATATGGTGGATTAGAGAATTCAGGGCTCTGAAAATGGTCTTTTGGTTTTTTTAAATTAAGTATTAAAAGAGAGTGGATCAGGTAATTTAGCCATGGAAGTCTTCCATTTCCCACTGTACGTCCTTGACTGAAATGTCCTCGCTCTTTAAACTGGTTTAATGGCTTTCTCCGTCTCATTTCCTCTATCTAGTTTGGCTGACTCCATCTTTCTAGACATCAGAGAATCCCCAAGACGCTGTCGTTCCTGCTTCTGGCTCTTCTCAGTGTCCGATTCAGTAGGAGTGAGGGATGGAGATATCCTGAGCTTAAATGAAAACAAAACACAAGTCCAGAGATAGGGAATATTCACTCTTTTATGGGACTCTAAACGCCGTGTAGTTCAGAAACATAATTTCCCCCATGTCTGGCAGAAATGCATGAAGATGCCCATAATCTCAATAGCTTTAATGTCTTTAAGGGTGTAAACAATGGATTGTGAATGTATCCTCCGTATGTTGTTGGGATTCCAAACCCCATCGTTCCTCACCATTAGGTAGACCAGTGTAGGCTGATGGAACCCGCAGTCATGCTGACGGTCATCGCCGTCCGCACATACACAACATGGAATTGTTCACTGGGGTCTCATTCCCAAAACAGACCATCATCTCCCCTCCCTGCTTACCTCATCCTTCCCTCCCTTCTCTCCATGGGGTGTGAATGGCGTGGGGCAGATCCTGCACTAGAGCAAAGTAGAAGAAAGGTGGCAGTATAAAGAAAAACTGAATCAAGGGCTTGTCGTTGCTTTGACTCTGTTGTCCTTAGTCTGGAGACGGGGAATGCTGTGCTGGCCTCACAGATGCAAAGAGGACAGAATAAGTGCACTATGGATTGGCTCTTTGTGAAATACAGTGGTGCCTCGCTTAGCGATGTTAATTCGTGCAGAAAATAAAAAGCCCATAGAAACGCATTAAAACGCGATTAATGCATTCCTGTGGGCTTAAAACTCACCTTTAAGCGAAGATCCTCCATAGCACCGCTGTTTTTGGTGCCTCTGAAGCGAGGAATCTGTGCCTGAAAACAGCGGGTGGCCATTTTGTTTACCCGGCGGCCGTTTTGAAACCGCTGATCAGTTGGCCGAAAACGGGGGCTTTGCGATGATCGCTTCCCTGCGATCATCGCAAAGCGAAATTTCCCCATAGGGAACATCGCTTTTGCGATCGCAAAAACAGCGTCGCTAAGCGATTTCATCGCTATACGGAGCGATCGCCATGCGAGGCACCACTGTATTGATCAAAGCCATTAAGACCCATTGCATGGGAGTGAATTTATGAAGCCTAACTTTACATTTCTGGGATTTCAGTGGTTTCCACCTTAAGTAGAACTGAATTTAAGCCTCACCAACCTGCCTCCCTAGTAGTCCCACGCTCTTCCTTCAGGGCTGGGGAGCATGTGCTTCTGCAGATATTGCTGGACAACAACACCCATCGGCCCAGACCTGTTGGGGGAAGGTGGAAACTGGGCCACCGGTTCTGTGCTCTAGGTTGACTAATGGAGGGAACTTCATACCCTGCACCCGGTCCGGCCTCCCTGGGAGATGCTTTCCCTCCCAGCCCAGTTCTTTGGCGTGGCTCTTCAGCGGCGCTTAACCCATCGGCACAGCAGGAGTCTCTGGAAGGTGGTCCGGAAGGACCTGTTGCACAGGGCGTAGCACATGGGGTTGACCGTGCTGTTGACGTAACAAAGCCAGTAGCCCAGCTTCCAGAGGCTTTGCGGGACGCAGTCCTCACAGAAGGTGGACATCAGCACCATGATGTTGTAGGGCGTCCACGTCAGGATGAAGGCCAGCAGGATGGCGCTGAGGGTTCGGGCGGCTTTCTTCTCCTTCATCAGGGAGAGAGCTTTCCGCTTGGTGAGGCTCCTCCTCCTCTTCTTCCTCCTTTTGACTCTCATATCCATGGGCGGTGTGGCTTCCATTAAGGCCACTTTCCTGATCCTTTTGTCCATGGCCTGAGGGTTCTTGGGGACCCCTCCAAAGGCCGCCTCCTCCATCCACACTGCTCCGGCTGCTGCCTTGGAGTCTGGCCCCTTCCGTGATTGCTGTAGGACCGTGCCAACCATGGGGAGGTGGATGACTGCCGTGCAGACCTTATGGACCTCAAAGGGCCGCTCCTCCCCCTCGGAGGAGGTCAGGGAGTCCGCAGAAGCTTCGCCTGCTTCCTCTTCCTCCTCTTCCTCGGTGGTGTTCCAGCTGCCGTTGCTGCTCCGGTCTAAGGAGAGGCCCTTGGTTCGCCATCCGAGAAAACAGCAAGCTTGTGGTTGCACGACGTTGACCGATAAAGGCGGGACAAGAGGAGGAGGAGGTGGCTCTGAGCTGCTGCTGCTGCTGCCCCCACTACCTCCATTTTGGGTCCTTCTGCCCGCGACCTGCAGGCCGTTCTTGAACTCTGACCCTTGGAGTCCGCAAAGTTCCTTGGCTCTCTTCTGGGTCTCCTGGTAGATCCTCCAATAGAGGACCGCCATGATGGTGACCGGGAGGTAGAAGGCGGCGATCGCTGTCCCAAAGGTGATGACGGGCTCCGAGAGGAACTGGATGTAACACTCGCTTTCGGCCACCGTCCTCTTCCCCACAAACTTCTGCCACAACAAGATGGCGGGGGCCCAGAGGAGGAAAGAGACCGACCACGCCAAGCCGATCATAACAGCCGCCATCTTGGGCGTCCGCTTGGCCCTGTAGGTGAGGGGGCGGGTGATGGAGAAGTAGCGGTCCAAGCTGATGACCAGCAGGTTCATGACGGAGGCGTTGCTGGCCACATAATCCAGGGCCAGCCACAAGTCACAAGCCAGGCTCCCCATAGCCCACCTTCCCATAACGATGTAGGCGGTGTACAAGTTCATGGAGACGATTCCGATAATGAGGTCGGCGACGGCTAAGCTGAGCAGGAAGTAATTGTTGACGGTCTTCAGATCCCGGTTGACCTTGAAAGACACCATCACCAGGAGGTTTCCTACCACAGTGACCAAGGAGAGGAGTCCGGTCGTCGACACGATCAAGACCGTCTCCCAAAGCGAAAAAACGCTCCCGGCGGAAGAGAGTTCCAGGGTGTCGTTGGGAGCCCGCGGGGGGTCTGAGAGGTTCATGGCGGTACCGGGAGGTTTTGGAATCCAAAAAAAGGATTCCATGAAGGTGGACACTTCAGTATAAATAGGGTTAAGGTTCTTTCTTCCAGTGGCTGTTCTGGATTAAGACCGAGTGATGTGTCTTTCAACCCAAAGGCTTCATCTGGAAGAAGGGGGAAAGAGACTGAGATCAGCTTTACAGAAAGAGTCCCATCAGATTCCTCAAAAGAGCTCTTGGGGTTTCCAGTGTCCCCACAGAAGCCCCAGTGGGAAACCACAGCAGCATCCTCTTGCTGACTTTGTCGCTGGAGGCACCATCAGCATTCACAAAGATTAGAATGATGAATCACAGAACTACGAAACCACAGCAGCATCCTCTTGCTGACTTTGCCGCTGGAGGCACCATCAGCATTCAGAAAAATTAGAATGATGGAATCACAGAATTACGAAGTCGGAAGGGGCCTATAAGTCCATCTAGTCCCACCCCCTGCTCAAGGCAGGAATCCAAATCAAAGGGGATCTGATGGACAGTGGTCTAATTTTCTCTTGAATGCCTCCAGGGTTGGAGTGCTCCTCACCACCTCCCAAGGTAATTAGTTCCATCGGCGTACTGCTTTAACAGTTAGGAAGTTTTTCCTGACCTTCAGCCTAAATCTGGCTTCCTGTAACTTGAGCCCATTATGACATGTCCTGCACTCTGAGATGGTCAAGCATGTATGACTTACAGTGATGCCTTGCTAGACAATGATAATCAGTTCCACTGAAATCGCTGTTTAGCGAAATAATCATCTAGCAAAAAGCATTTCCCCATTGGAATGCATTGAAACCTGTTTAATGCGTTCCAATGGGGAAGAATTGTCGTTGTCTAGCGAAGATCGGCCATAGGAAAGCCGCTTTGCAAACCGCCGATCAGCTGTTTAAATCGCTGTCTTGCGAAGCTTAGGTCCCAAAAACACCCGTTTTGCGAGCGCGGAGGGAGCTGTCAAAATTGTCGGCTAACGAAAATCGGTTTGCGAAGCAGGGACCAAACATTGTCCAGCAAAATTCCCCTATAGGAATCACTGTTTTGCGAATCGCTATAGCGATCGCAAAAAGTCAATGTCTAGCGAAAAAACTGTCATGCGGGGTAACTGTCTAGTGAGGCACCACTAGTCTTTGAAAAGGGCTCTCCTCTCTCTCTCTCTCCCCCCGCCATCTTCTTTTCTCAAGTCGTCCGACTCTGCAAGGAAAACCTTTCAAGGCGAAGATTGGCAACCAACCTTACCTCCAGAGGAGAGCAGAGCGGTTTCTCACTTCTGCAGTTTAAAGTCATCCCCTTCTTTCTTGATTTCTTTGGTGGTCTCTGTTACATAACAGCACTGATGTTACCTGTCTGTCATGGGTTTGGAGGGAAAGTTCCATCCTATGGGGAGTGGAAGGCGGGACATCAGGAGGAGGGGCTGTACTGTATAAATATGTGATGCCTGTGTGGTGAAGAGTAGATGCTGAGACAGACTGTGAGACACTGGGTTGGGACGAAGCAGCAGCTGGGAAGAAGAAGCTGTTGTGGGAGTCTGTGTGTCTGACAGGGTACTACTGTGTGTCGGAGTACCAGCCTGAAAGGTTCAGGGGTCTGTTGGTTAGGCAGAACTGATGGGTTCAGGGTCTGTGCTTTAAGTTAAAGGTTCTAGGTGAACCAAACTGTATGCTTGTGTGTGTGAGAATAAGCCACGTTACTTTATTTTATTCACCTGATTGTTTTATTTACCCTGTTTGTATTTAAAATAAACCTTATTCTTTTATTGTTTAAAAATCCATCCCTGGTCTGTGTGACTTATTATAGGGAATGGTTGGTGGCAGCTTAGTGTAACTGTGTGACATATCCCAGTAGGTCTGGGTTTGTCACATTGATTGGTGTCCAGCGTGTGGGATACGACTGGTCCAGTTGGCCAGTGGTCCAGCAAAGCCTTGGCAAGTGTGCCCAGAGCAAGGGGGGTCTAGTCAGGGACAGTCTGAGGCGCGTAGGTAATCTTCTAGGTGTACCTCACGGGGAGGTGCACTAGTAGAAGAACGTGCCAACTGGGAAGACTTAGATTAAGGTGCTCTGAGGCAGCCTAGTTTTGGCGGGAAAAAGCTGAGGCAAAACTGCATAGTAACAGCGAGCTAGCCTGCCAGCTGAGAGGCCCAGCAGAGGGGGGTAGGCTCTGACTCGATACTGTTGCAACTTTAGTGCTGAAGAACAGCAGCA